ATCTAGTTCTTTTGGTCTCATAGTTGTATAGGCTGAGGATCGCATGGTGTACCAGTCATGAGGACTAATTCTTTCCACGAATCTTTGTTTTTCTTCATTCTTCTTTGCTCTGGATAAGGAGAGACCCATCATTGCATCTAGATAGCTGCTTGCAAGCTTTCAAGATCCCAGTCGCTACTCACCAAAGTAGGAGGTGGAACAATATTTTGTGTAGTATGTTATGCCAATTGATCTTGATGTCCCCTGTGACTATGGTCCTGAGCCCACAGATTCAACTACTTCTCCCTCTGGGTAGCTGGCTGTGACCAAGAAGTGTGGAAGTGTTTCTTTAATGTTTCTTATGCATAGAAAGGTACACTATGGACTATATACTATGAAAAACATTCGACTAACTAGATATATAATTAGATAATAATTATAATTAGATATAAACCATAGCTAACTGTTCAGACTTACATATAAATTCAACTTAAAAACAGACTTAGAAACAGAACTCAATCTGAGGACAGCCTGTGATAGACACCAGAGTTTTGGTGCAACTCTTTTTCTTCTTTTTTTTAACAAGGAATTCTCTCATCCCGTTTTCAGAGTTGCATCTGGCAGTGTCGTGTTATATCACACCCATTACTAATGAGAAAATTGAGGCTCCAGGGTGTTGGGAACTTGGCTTGTCATCCAGGCCTCTGAGGCCTGGAGACAAAGAGAAGCCCCTCTCCCATGTGCCCGTGACTTCCTCTCCCTGCTCTGGGTTTCATCCCCGGCCCCTCGCCCACATCCATGTTTTTTGTGCCAGCTCTTCCAGGAGCTGAGAGGAGGTAAACCTCCATCAGGAATTCCAGGGCTTCAACCCCTAGTCTGCCACCACCTGACCTCTTGTGTTAGCCTGCGTGTGGCTATGGAAGATGAAGGATTTCCAAGAGAAGTTTCCAATTTCCAGTAGAACTTCAGCTGCCATTAGAGTTTACTGTCAATGCCCATTCCTTGTGGGGAACAGAAATGCCTAGATGTGCGATGTCTACAGCGTACGAGCCTGGGTCAGGGCTTGCTTCCAGAGATCTCTCCCTAAACCTTCCACCAGCACCACTGACCCGGAATGGTTTTCCTTCCTTCCCTGTTGTCTTCCTTGAGAGGTGCTTCTGGCAGCCTTAGGACCAGGCTGGGAAGAGGTGAGGAAACTGGGCTGAGAAAGATCACGGATGTGAGATGCCCACAACGTGACGTCCCACAGAGCAAGGGGAAAGCAACTTCTAGGCTTGCTTTAGAGAGACTGACGTGAGTGAGCCAGTTAAGGACGCTCGAGGTTGGCCAAGGCCTGCCCTTGCCTCTTCTCCCACATTTTATGGGTCCTGGGAAAGGCAACTCTTGATTGCTTAAGAGTCTATACCATGTAAAGGAAGAACTAAAAATTGCTTCAAACACCCAATCAGTCACAAATGTGGAGTTATTTTTAGAGGTAGGATCTTTAGTGTGGAGACAAGAGCATCTCCATCTTCAGCGTGGAGACAAGATCCCCCTCTTCAGTAGTTAGTTGTTGCATACAGACTGTTTTCCAGGAAAGTATGGAAGACAACCTAAGGACTGTAACTGGAGATGGTTTCTTAGCTGGTGGAGGGCAAGTGGATCCTGTCATCAGTAGGTGAGGTTCACAGATTAAGATGATGGTTCTAGTTGGGGTTTCTCACATTTGGAATAGGAGGGCCTTCACTTCACTTCCAAGTGTCCTACAGTTGCTCCAGAAGGCAGGGGGGATAAGTCATCTTCGGGAATTATCCAGCCATGTTAATGTATGTTGTATGTTTTATATGTATGTTGTGTTGTTGTTGTTGGGTGCCATCAAGTCCGTTCAGATTTAGAGCCACCCTGTGTACGAAAGAATGAAGCACTGCCCAGTCCTGCGCCGTCCTCACCGTTGCTGTGTGGTTGTGCCCTCTGTTGCAGCCACTGTGTCAGGCCATCTCATTGCGGATCCTCTTTCTCATTGTCCTTCTCCAGGGACTGGTCCCTCCTGCTAACATGTCCAAAGTATGTGAGATGAAGTGTCACCATCGTCTCTTCTAAGCATTCTGGCTGTACTTCTAAGACAGATTTGTTTTGTTTTTCTGGCACTCCGTAGTCTATTGAATATTCTTCACGAATCTCGTAATTCAAATGCATCAATTCTTCTCTGGTCTCCCTTATTCACTGTCCAGCTTTCACATGATTTGAGGCGATTGAAAATAACATGGCCTGGGTCAGGCACACCTTAGTCCTCAAAGTGACATCTTTGCTTCGTAACACTTTAAAGAGGTGTTACGCAGCAGATTTGCCCAGTGCAATATGTCATTTGATTTCTTGATTGATAGAATCCTTGACAACTTCAGTCTTTTCTCTGTTGATCATGATGTTGTTTATTGGCCCAGTTGTTGTGTGTTGTAGGGGTGTGTGTTTGTAGTGGCACTTTGTTTGTGCCTAGCAGTTTTCATTCTTACAAATACTCCTTACACATGACCTCATTTCATCCTTACACAGTTGTGTGTAGGAACCTAATCCCCTTGGCACCTACGAAGGAAGTCACTGAGGCACAGGGAAAGTGGGCTTGCCCAAGGTGACCTACTCATTAGTGGGATGCCCTACCGAAGTAGGATAAGCACTCGAGCCTCCACTGAGCGCCAGACCTCAGTTTCAGAGCCCTTCCCAAAGCATTGCACATGACGGTCAACCCGAGCTCTGCATCTTGGTGACACAGGAAGTATTTCTGATTCACTTCCCAGGATTTGGTCCACTGAGAACCCAGGCACATCCTTCCTTTGTGATGCCAGTGCCTCATTGTGTCTCCTAGAATCCCAGAATTGATGAAGACTATCACTATATTTTGAGAGAAAGTCTTCTAGAAAACTCCTAAGTGGAAAGCCATTTGTCATATTAACACTGCAAATACTAACTTTGAAAAATTACCTTTATGTAATATTGATACTAAAATTTTATAAATGAATGGATAGATGCTAAAAATCTTCCATTAGTGATCAGTGAATCGACTCTACAGCATGAACAACAATGTGATTAATGAAATTTCATACGTCCTTTTATGTTGTCTTCTTCTGCTCAAAGACGTTTATTGTTCTTAGTCATGGAAATCGTTGTAGCAGAGTAGTTTCCTGAAAAACATGTATCAGATGATGTGATAAGTATGGGCTGACAGATAGTCTGTCCCGGAGCAAGTTTCCTTCTGTTTCCTGTGGCTTTCTCTAACGAAATCCCTGGACGTGGAAATTGCAGCCTGTAAACCGTATTAAGTTTCATACCAAATCTTATTTGTACCACTTTTAGCAACAGCTGCATAGAGGAAGGAAATTGTATCCCTTTATTGTCAAAATTGAACTTGTAACAAAAAAAAAAAAAATTACTCTTAGAGCCTCCAGATTGAAAAACCAAAAAAATAGGTTTCAAAAAAACGTTAAAGAGTCAAACCCCAAAAGGCAGTCAAGTGCTGTGCGGGAGAAAGATGTGATAGTCTGCTTTCGTAAAAATTACAGCCCTGGAAGCCCTGGAGGGAGAGGGGGTGACAGTTCTACTCTGTCCTGTAGGGTCACTATGAGTCGGAATTGACTCCACGGCAGTGGGTTGTTCATTTGTTTGTTTAATTCTGATAGAATATCATGATAGAGGAGAAAAGAAAAACGCCCTTATTCTTGTTGACAAGCTTCTTAGCATCCACAAAGCGTAAGCATGGGCTGAAGTCCCTGGACTGTGTTCATCCCAGTCTGCTGTGAGGTAGTAGCCAGGTGATGGTGTCCAAGCTGCACTCACAGGAGAGCTGGAGGTGGGGGTTCGTCGGAGGCGGGAGGCCGCAGAGAGCTGGCTGGGTGGAGGCTGCTCCCAGAGCCCTGCTGTCCTGTCCGTGCCGCTGGACCCCCACCGACCAGCCCGCGTCCTCCAGCTTGGGGTCCTGGAGAGGGGCCACAGCTCCAGCTCTTCTGCCACCAACTCATTGTGTCACCTGGCACCTGCTTTGCCTCATCTGCCAAATAGACATCCTCACCACTCATTTTATCACAAAGCCTTGTCCTGGGGGTGCACACCAGCTCTCCCTTTGAAAAGTAGGGGCTAGGGCTTCTCAAACCCAGCTGCACAGTAGAACCATCTGAGGAGCTTTGAAAGATGTGGTCTGTCCCCAGAAAGTCTGAATCATTTGGCCATTCTCTAGAAATGTCCCCAGGTAGAATTTTTTTGTTTTTCAATTTTAACTAATAGACTTAATTTTTTAGAGCAGTTTTAGTTTTACAGAAAATCAGGCAGGTAGTACGGAGAGTTCCCGTATCCCCCCTCTCCCCGCAGCTCAGTTTCCCATTAGTCTCATCTCGTCGTCATACTGTGCGTTTGTTACAACTGCGGCCTAACACTGATACACTCGTATTAACCCAAGTCCATAGTTCAGTGTAGGGCTCACACTTGGTGTTGGACAGTCCTATGGACAATCTGACTGATACGTAATGCCACGTAGCTGTCATCACAGTACGCTACTGAATAATTTCACTACCCTAAAATGATGCCCTGTGTCCCACCTGGTGTTCCCGCCCTGCCCGAGCCCCTGGCAACCACTCATCTGCTCGCTGTGGTTTTGCCTTTCCCCAGGAGGTTTCCATGTGCAGTGAAGGCTTAGAAGCACGAGGTCGAGTGGTTGGGTCATGAGGTCACGCTGCAGGTGGCGTGTTGAAGGGGCAGCGGTTTGGTGAGCCCTAAGACCGCACAGCTCAGAATGCCAGTTAGGTCCCCATTAGGTGGACAGAGTCCCTGACTTGAAGGTTTCATCATTGCATCTTACAATGACCCAGAAGGAGGCAACCTTAGCAAGGGCTGAGGGGTGCGGTTTACTGGCTGGGCTGGGCAGTAAGGCATCCACTACTCTCAAGTGGGAAGGTGCTGGAGAACACACAGGTATGGTCGCATTTCAGGAGCGGCCTCGGTCGGTTGGGCTTCCTCCCCCACCCCCCATGACTGACATCTGTAGCTGTGTTTTGCAGTGACTCTGGACGTGGGAGCAGCCTCTTAGATAGAACCATTGCTGACAGACGACAGCTTAATACAATTACTTTGCCAGACTTCAGCGATCCCGAGACAGGTGAGAACAAAAAGCCAGAGGGGACGAAATGGTGCCACAGAGAACCGGGGCCTGTCACCGAGTGATGGGGATGCAGCTAGCCGGGGGCTGGGGCTGGGGCAGGGAAGATTCCTCACCCGGATCTGCTAACGTGGATCAGTGCCTTTTCTCCAGGGTCTTCTTCAAGCGTGTGTTCACAGTGGGGGAGGCACTATCCTTGTCCAACACAACTCTCAAATCTTTCTATTTTTCCCCTTGCTCTTGGAGCTTTCAATTGGAAACTAAGAATAGGTTGTTCCCACCTCTCATCAGGTTTCCTCTCCCCTTTTCTTTTTCTGCCTCTCTTTTTAGATTTTAGAACTTGCCGAAATCAAGGGGTTTTTTGTTTGTTTGTTTGTTTTTTCCTAGCCAATTGCACAGATAAACACACACAGCCCCAACAGAAACCCTGTTGGGGGACAGTTGATTCTGGGCTGCTAATGCACTTCCCCAGGGGAGGCCTGTACACACTTACTGCCCCTGAGCAAATGTGATGTGGCCTTGTTTGTGTTCCGCACACCACAGTGCAGGGGAGTGACTACCCCCACGTGACCTCCAGACCTCCAAGCCAGTGATGCCAGCAGTAGTATGAAGTACTCAGTGACAATTCGGGGACTTCACAGACCCACAACACATAATGAAATTCATTCTGCTGCCAGCTTTAATGCAGTCTGGGGACCCTAGGGCACCATTTGAAACCCGCTTCTGCTGCCCTCCCCCACCCCGCAGGGGCCTCTGTGATGCTCAGTCCCTGTCAGGGTCTGCCTGGGCTTCTGGGGACTGGCTTCATGCAAGGAGCCTCGGTTTCTTCTCCTGCCCCTGGTGCCAGGTCAGAGGCCACCCAGGGAAAGCCAGAGAGCAGCCCCAAGGTTGAGCCAGAGTCCCGTTCCCCCCGCCCCCCACAATGCAGAGAATCCATTCCCAGGTGTGATAGCAGGGACCAGGCCTCCGGGCATCCTCTCAGCCACCTGCAAGACTACATCTCTGCACGAGGCTCCCTGTTACCAACATTAAAGTCAGGGTGACAAAGTCTGATCCAAGAGCCCCCAGGGCTCCTCGGTCAAAAGGCTTGTTGCATATTGGAAGGGCCACAAATTATAAATTAGTGCAGTTTACTGTGGCCCGCAGACCTACTGAGCCACAGAGAAGCTCCTCCCTCGGTGTGGCCTGACGCCTCCATGGGTGAGCAGTAGTCGCTGGTGGGGTCAGACACCAAACCAGGCAGAGAGCTTGACTTGGAATGGCATCACAGAGTCCCGCCTCACGGGCTCTGTCCTGCTCCAGGTCCCCTGCTAGCGGGACCTGTTCGTCCCCTCTTTGCAAGACAGGATAGGCGAGGAGCAGTGGCACAGGGGGCAGGAGAGAAGGCGTGGAAACTCACCTGGCACCAGCAACAGTTTTGACTGATTCAAAGCTGCTGCTGCAGTTGCCCAGGGCTGTCTGGCCCCTTCTGCCCCTCCCCAGGACCCTCTGAGGACAGTCATACTAAATGCAGACCCCCTTTCCTTCCCATTGCCTTGCATCTTCACATCCCGTGGTCCTACTAAGACTTTCTTGCAGCATCACGTTGAAAACAGATAGTGGTGGAAAATAAGGCCCTTGTTATTCTTTCTTCCCTCGGCCTCAGGACATTTTCCCTCCGTTCCCAAGAGTCTCCTTCTTGAGGTTCAACCTCTCGGGCACCATGGTGCCCAGGTGAGCTATGTCTAAGCAGCACAGTCAGACCCAGTCCCTTCTTCTCCCCCCCCCCCTCATTGGGGGTATACACGAGTCTGCCCTCTCCAAACTGGAGCTCAGCTGGCCGAAAGTGGACTTGCTGATGCATATGCCCTTCTCGAACCAGCGAGGAGTCCCACAGCCTCCCAGGCACGGACAGGGACCATCTTAATGTTTTCACACCTCTTCTTGGGAATCTTTATGAGGCTCTTTTCACTCACCCAGTGCCCAGAGCCACTAAGTGTGGATCTGCACATCGCCAGTTACGTAACCAGTGTCCCTGAGTGTTGAAGGCAGTTAACTGACAGATTGGTGGCTCAACCCCACCCAGAGTTGCCTCGAAAGAAATGCCTGGCAATCAATTCTGGAAAGTTAGCCCTGAAAGTCCTGGGAGCACAGTTCCACTCTGGCGCCCATGGGGTCGCCAGGCATCAGAGTTGGCAAATATTTTTTTTTGCTTTAATTCCTTAACCAAGAGGTCAGAGAACCAGAAAAACAGAAGGCCAGGTTAGGAAGCCTTTTCCGTTGCAGACAATTTATAAATGCAGATAACACATTCTGAAACAATCATGTAAATCAAAGGGCATTAACTATTAGGGGGGCTTACCTAAGAATGGAAAAGATGCCTCCACCTTGATCAACAAAGCCCAGACTTCTGCAGGTCAGCTCAGTGGCACAGTGGCAGGAGGAACGGCCCGTTCTCATACACCTACGTGGATGGCCGCCTTGTGAATGAGTCACAGATAGCATACTTCATCTTGACTTAGTTTAACAGGTACTGCATGTGCATAATACAAAAACAAGACTGTGGTCAACAAGACACCATAGAGAAGTTTTGCTTCCATCCCTGCCCTCTCTATCTTGTCTCTCCCCAAAACCACCATTCTAATTAGCTTTCTGTTTGCCCTTCCAGTGTTTTCCATGAAAATATAGTAGTATACCACCTGCCATGAAAAGACCAGGCCCTCCATGCTGTTCAGCTCCGGCCTTTCTTACTTTACAACATATCCTGGATATTGCATGCTATTCCTCCCTTGAGAATTTCCTTCCTTTCCCCAGCTACGTAGGATCCATGACCCACATATTTTATAGCCTGGACTTCTGCATCGAGCTGGAGCCCAGCCGTTTTCCTTCCTTTGCCACAGTTTTCAGTTCACGTGGTGCCGAAGGAAGCTGCTCATTTTGAATGTCCACCACAGCACAGCTCGTGTTCAATAGCAACAGGACTATACATAAAGAAAAAAAGAACTTTTCCAAGATAACAGAGTTTCTGAAGCAAACAGAAGGAACTCAGACCAGTTATGGTCTGGGAGAACCAGCCCTAGCTGGTGCCAGCAGGTCAGAGCCCTGGCCCATGTCACTCCCAGGACTTGGCTGCTTTTGTAAGTCTCCTCCAGAGACAGGCACGCAGCATGAGAAAGCCGTGCAGTGTGGGCATCGGTAAGCTGTCCAAAGCAAAGATGACTGCTCGCCGTCCTGATCTCAGCCACGCTGGCCCAGGGCCCAGAATGGCACTGCACTGCAGAGATGCCTTTGTGAGGTTGCAGGCCCTTGGGTGGTTTTTGTTGTTGTTTTATTTCTCAGAGCTACATTTATTTTACTTTTTTACTATTATGGAAAAATTTCAAATATACCAAAAGAGAGAGAGATGCTAATGTAATGGATCCATTATCACGTTTGTGCCATCAAGCTCCAGCCGTTAGTGTGCTCATTTCCTCTCTCTCTCCCACCCCCACTTGGTTTTTCTAGAGTAGTGTCAAATCCCAGACATCCTAGTTCACCTGTCAAAACTTCAGCACATGTGCCCAACAGATAAGGACTTCTTAAAAGTGTAGCCAGAAGCCTGTTAGCATACATCCCAGCCTTGTCAAGTGCAGGCTCACTGTTCTTGATTTGGGAAGGTGGATTAACTGGAATGTGGTTTCCCATCTCTGAAATGGAGATCCATGGAGTAGTATGAGAACGAACCTACATGCAGGAGCTTTGGACTGACCAAGCCCACTTTGGTGAATTGAGTGGATCTGTCAAGCTAAAAAAGCTCCCATTAAAGAATAGGTATCCCCTCTGACATGTTCTCCCCATCACCACCACCACCACCTCTGTCAACTAGTAGGTCCCAGCCAGTGAAAAACAAGAATCAAAAGGAGTAACAGTCCTGACTTGGAAGCTAAGAGTCATTGTCTTTTCTTTGGAATAAGTTGGTAGTTAAAAATTTTTCCTCCCTTTTGCCTTCCAAACAGGATGTGGGATAAGGGGATTTATCTTTAATCAGTGGTATATGTTATACCTACCTATCCAAAGGAACCCCAGTGGCACAGTGGGTAGTCACTCAGCTGCTAACCAAAAGTTTGGTGGTTTGAACCCACCACCCACTCCATGGGAGAAAGGTATAGCAGTCTGCTTCCATAAAGGTTAAAACCCACTGCCATCAACTTGTTTCTGACTCATAGCGACCCCCATTGGGTTTCCGAAGGGGTAAATATTTACAGAAGTAGGTTGCCCCATCTTTTTTCTGAAGAGTGGCTAGTGGGTTTGAACCACCAACCTTCTGGTTAGCAGTCAAATGCCTTAGGCACTGCACCACCCAAAGATTACAGCCTTGGAAACTCTCTGGGGCAGTTCTACTCTGTCCTCTAGAGTCACCATGAATCAGAATCAATTCAATGGCAACAGGTTTGGTACTCAAAGCAAAAATAATTCTTTTAAGTTGAAAGCTTGGTCCGTTTTGTTTGGGAACATTTTTAACTGGGAGTTGTAGTAGTCTCCCATCACTGTGCATCTGTCCAGCTGTGAGACACAAAGGTGGCAGTAATAATGTCCTTTCAACACACCCAACCACTGCACCTTAGAAGGCCTAGCGCTCCGCCATCAGGATCCTGGGGCCTCAACAAGTCAGTCATTACACCTCAGGAACACCCTTGGTTTTCAAGTAAACTTTGTATAAGTGCTTCTCATAGAAGAGAAATCTATGCAAGTCAGGCTCCAGCCCTCTCCAACTGGGAAGCAAGGTTCCCTTTAGAATGTCCCAACTGTGGTGGCGAAAGCCATCTTCTTCTCAGTGGCTCACACCCTGACTCTGTGCTCAGAGAAATCTGTTCACTTTTATCCCACGGTGTTGGTGCAGAACAAATAACGAGCGGGGAAAACACCACATTTGTTTTCTCCAAAAAGCGCTTGTGTTTGCTTGTCCGGTAGAGGGATGATGGGCTATCACATGACCTTATTCTCTTTGCAGCTTATGTGAGTATATTAAAAGCAAGTTGCTC